CTATCTATCTATCTATCTTTTTTTTTGTAAAGATGGATTATAATTCCCCTCAGTGCTGACTAGAATTCTATAGGGACTTTTTGGCAGAATGGCACACATGCAATAATTAAATCCTCACAAGGACAGTAATGCATTACTTTGCTTCCCATAGGGGTTAAACAAAGTTAATAATTCAGCTCAGGCCTTGACTACCTAATTCACACTATTAATCCTGCTGTAAATCTGCAAGCTTCTTCCAACAGAACATTCTGATTAACTGGGGTAGGTCATTGGGCCAATCCCAGCACTCAAACCTTTAACCTTTTACAACATGTCTAATAATAAGTCTAATACTATCTGTGAGTGTTTCCCCTTGTGTGTCACAATCAATAAGACTAACAAATAAAGTGATTCTCTTGAGACCAGTCATTTCTCTGCCAAGCGCAGAAAGACTTTTCGCTCTCGCTAGAGTTTCCTGAACCTTCGCATGGATACTATTTTCATTACCATGAATGCCATGCCGGGAAATGTTTGGCGATTTGTGATGGTGAAATATATTGACATTCCTATTAGAAAAGAGCAGAAGAGGATGTGGGTAAAAAAAATTCAGCCCTCACACATTTATACATTCTGAAACATTGTCATCTGTTGCATTTACACATTAACACATGACAGCATCCTGTGTAATTTATGTGTTACATTGGTCAGACCCTTACAATGACATTTTTTATTTATCTTTTGTGTATGCTGAGCTCTTTCTGGAAGCCACAGCCCAAACGTTGTTGAATAGTACAGTAAAGTGTTTTTACAACCTCTTCCTCCGCCTGAACTTTATCAGGGGCAAACTGAGTGAACAATGACTTGTACACCCATTCCTTAACTGCTCAGTCTATATACGGTCTCATTTAATTATACAAATAAATATACAAAATAGATTTGTCCCAATGTTTTTGTTTATCTAAATCGCATTTAATACCAACTTGGATACACTCCAATTGCAACAAGAACACATTGCAGTTGCATGGCTTTGCAAACAGTGTCGCATTTTTGGTCTTTGATGGTCATACACCCATTTGTTTTTGGGCAGACCGCACCCACAGTCCCCTAGGGGCCTTTATCACAGAACCAATTAGTGGTCCAGGCACTGGATTAATCCCATGGGGAATGTCTTTGTTCCAATGAATTAAATAAGGGCATGATTTGCCTGAACAATAATTCCTTGAATTGGACAAAGATTGAATGGATTGGACATGACGGAACAGCCAGCAGAAGCAGCAGCAGTGAAATACTGCATTTATTACAATTAATTTGGCAAAAGTTTTTTATTAATATTTGCGTATTAGTCATCAGTATGAAGACGCACATGTGAGCACATACAACATACACTTTCTATGTATTTGTACAAGTAAAATCCTGTGAGTTTATGGTTCAATCTGTGTGTGTGTGTGTGTGTGTGTGTGTGTGTGTGTGTGTGTGTGTGTGTGTGTGTGTGTGTGACAGAAAGAGATGTATGCTTTACACTTACGTTTTTTATTATTAGTATATTTTCAGCTCTACTGGTGAACTAATGAGTCACAAAGCAAATGTTCCATGATATTTATTTAAATTGTAAAAAAGTTTGTTCATTTAACTAATATTGACTAGTATGGCTCTCTTAATGTGTTAAATCAACTCTACTAGCACGGAATATTTAATATATTTAAATGTATTAACATTTTGGCAAATACTTTAATTCTTTCCCTTGTTGAGAATTAGACAAGAACATTGATGCCACGATCATGGTTATACGCTAAATATGAAGCTGGGGCCATGAGACAGCTTAGCGTAGCAAACGTAGCAAATGTAATGTCAGTAAGGGGAACTGACATTTAAGAAAACAAGTGAGAGGGGATATTTTGACTCTCATTTCCTCTCATGCTCCTGAAAACTTTCCCTGGACGAACAATGCCTCCAGTTATTGTTCCTTACAGATTACAGGAAAAATATAGTTGGGGGGAGGTGGGAGTTGCAGGTTGGGTCAACATATCAACATCATAACTTTCTATGAAGAAGAAATGTGGGAGTCCAAGAGGAGATGGTGTGGAAAGGAGATAGATTTATTGTAAAAGTGTTTGACTAAACAGAGCAATGTACAATATCTAAGTGCAGACAGGATCCAAGTGAGAGTGTTATACAAATGTGAATTGGCTCTGCCTGGGAGTGACAGGATACAGGAAGACAGATGTCACACACTGAGGAAACCAGTCGTGATTAATCGAACATGCAGACTCCCACTTTCCAAAACAGGACACTGAACAGAAATTACATTTACATTAAATTGAATGTACATACATAGCTCTTAGTCAGAGTTAACCAGAGTGATGTTGAAGAAGGGCAGTAGTTGACTGCAGTATATTTCAAGTACCCAGTATTATGAAGTCCAGGTAGTACTGAAGAAGAGAAATGCAAAGTCTCTACATTGCAAAGTACAACTAAGCCCGCAAAGGGTGCAATGTTCACAATCCATACTAAGTTTTGGAGGGTGTGGACAACATACTGACTGTTTTTCTATTCTTAGAGCCTTATCAGGAGTCAGGCTTAACATGTTGGGTTTGTCCTGTAGGTTGCACAAGAGATAAGACCATGGGGGTCACTAAAATCACACAAGTTGATTCAACTGGAAGCATGCATGTGCTCAGCAAGTTTCATCTTGATCTACTTGCAGTGTTGACATTTTCACTAGCTCGAGGAAAACTCAAGGAGTGTTCAAAATGGTAACGACTCAACCATTAGGGAGAAGAGATGTGCTATGTGTTCAATTTCAGGGCAACGTGTGCATAAGATTTTGATATTTCTTGGCCACAAGTGCAAATTTCAACCCAATGGAAGCGCTAACAGGAAAGGTCACTAAGTCATCAAAACATTTGAATTTATTCTGGGATCATGAATATCCATGTTCATGGAAACCTGCCAAGAGACAGAAAATAAGGGGACAAGAGACAAGCCATAATAGCAGGAGGCAAGGCAGGCATCTGAGCTTTCTTGTTTTATGATAAAAAGTGGGATATAGAAAATTGTCTGCAGCATCTGCTTGAATGCCGAGTATTGAGATTGGAACATATGGATTTACTGGTTGGATTTGTTGTTGCGTCAACAGTCATATGGACTGTGTGAGAGTTTATTGTGAAGTACATGGATGAGGCACAGCGCCTGTGGCGTCTCCATTCATAGGAGGTCAGAGCTCTGGAAGTTATCATCACTTCCCTCAGTGACGTTATCACACATACACAGAGAGAGAGAGACAGAGAGAGAGAGACAGAGACAGAGAGAGAACTAACAATACCTACTTATCTCAAAGGCCTTTTTATGATCCATGCTCTATCATAATGGCAATATTATTCACATGCTTGACCTCTCACAAACTGTATTTCAACAAAATTAGAGATTAGAGAAAGAGAACACCAAAAGCTTACATAAACCAACCATAAATTACTGAAAAACATATGTTATTGATGATAGATGTCTGACAGAGAATTGATCATTCTACTGCAGTAAGGCAAAGACAGTTGAGCCCATGGCACCACACTGCCCATGCAGAAAATAATGAACGAAAAGTTCTTCATCTACGGCAGTGGTTGTTCTCAAAGTGGCATCCACAGCAAAGACATGAATAATTTATTTTCACTATAATTCCATCCATAAGTAACACAAAGACATAATTTATGATCATTTTGGTCATGGGTTTCAAACACTTTCTGTAATAAAAAATCTAAAAGCAAAAATCTTGGTGGTCTAATTTTTGTGAAAAAGTTGTGCAGGGTTACATAGTGTCAGAACTCAGCTAGTGCTTAACTTATATATATGTGAATGCCATTTGTAATATGTGATGTGAATAATTTCCACAGGCAGGTTAGTTCTCTATTCCAAATGGTCTGAAAGTTTTCTCACTTTCAACAGGATGATGTAGTTCTTAACTGGCTAAATCTTTAAATACACAGTCAGCTTGTGCTTGCGTACAAAACTACTCACACTCAGAGTGATGGTTATTTAGGGGTGAGGCTTCTTGCTGTCTCAAAACAAACAGAGCTGAAGCACAAAAACAGAGAAAACAGAAAAACCATTTACACCACAGTGGCTGATCCATTCTCATCCCTCTGCCCTTTTCATATATCACTGGCAGCGTTTCGGTACCTACGCAGGGCTCCATGTTTGTTTTACAGAAGCGCAGATATTTTATCTCAGAATTTGAATGGGATTTCAGGTAACAAAAACCTTCCAGTGAATAGCTGCATGTCAATGACTTTGCATGGACTTCATAAGCTTCTCAAAAATGCAAATCTGTCCTTCATCCCAGAAATGTCTTCTTTCTATTTTGATGCAGCATTTGTGAGTTGTGAATCGTGAGTTTGTTAGTGTCCTGCCGGGACTCTGTCATTCCAGAAACAGACATATTTTCATATTTAACAAAACATCACAGCAGAAAAAAACCACACCACACAAACACACTGAAGTTTTACAACACATGGGGAACAGTTAAACCTTCCAATAACTCATACATTATAGACTGAGGTTAGTTTAATTTGCCAGTTGGATCATTTGTGCATCCAACTTTCTCCTCAGAGAAAGATTCACCTGTTTTTAATATGTTCCTGACTAACAAGCAAGAGCTGTAAAACCCCCTCAGTGCTTGGACTGAACAACTGAACTAAATGTTTCATCTCGACTTTCAACATAATACATGCATTCTAAAATGTGTGTGTATATATATGCAAGACTCTTAATCTATTCTTTTGCATATTAATTTTCTTTTAAAGATGAAGAAGAATACGAAGTTATAAAAAGTCATTGGTTGTGTTTGCAGCTTTAGTCTCATGCAGCCCTGCAGCAGTGACCGCGGGGACAATGTGTTCAAACTCTCAGGAGCTCTCAGCACCCTCCGCAGGCTGGCTGTGTGATTGGCTGAGCACTGACCATGATGTCATCACTGCACGTTATAAGGGCTCTGACAAATAGCCTGGGAGACACATTAGAGGAAACACTGCTCAAGCAAGGCACTGAGTGAGTGAGGCACACGGAGATTAGGAAAAACAGAGAGTAGAAAGACGGACATGTGACACTGAATACTTTACAAGAACTACCTGAACTGTCATATTTCTATTTCATATGGGAGGTAGGAAACAACTACCTGTGGAGGTTTGTACTTTTATTTTTGGTTTGCTTGTTTGACATGTTTTTTTTTTTTTTGTTTTTAAAGCTGTGCTTGTTGAAGCCTTTTGATGTGTTGGTGTTGTAATTTGTGTTCTCATTTTCTTTTCAATCAGACAGATGAGTGCAAATTTGTTAGTGATAGTTTTATATTCACATACAAGTTCTATGGACAATGTTAGTTTTCTTTCCTCTGCTTTTATCAGGCCATTTTTAGATTTAGATTGTTTTTATCTTAAATCTTCACCTCCATGTGTGTGTGTGTGTATGTGTGTGTGTGTGTGTGTGTGTGTGTGTGTGTGTGTGTGTGTGCGCGCATGTTATCCTCATATAGTCTCTTCAGATGGGAAGCACGACCCCCCCAGTGTACCTCAATGCGAGTGCGGAGATGAATAACTCGTCATCAGACCCAGCTACACATGAGGAGGGTTTCAGTGACTCCACAATGATCCTGCTCGGCATGATCATGTCCTTACTCGTCCTGTGCATTGTCTTTGGAAACATCCTGGTCATTACAGCAATTGCCCGCTTCCAGCGTCTCCAAAATGTCACCAACTGTTTCATTACATCCCTAGCCTGTGCTGACCTGGTCATGGGTCTCATTGTGGTTCCTTTCGGTGCCTGTTACATCATCTTTAAGACCTGGCATTTTGGTAGTTTCTGGTGTGAGTTCTGGACTGCAACTGATGTGCTCTGTGTGACTGCAAGCATCGAGACCCTGTGTGTCATAGCTATAGACCGTTATTTAGCCATCACCTCTCCCTTCCGCTACCAGTCCATGCTCACCAAGTGCAAGGCTCGCATTGTGGTTGTGCTGGTGTGGGTGATTGCAGCTTTGATATCGTTCCTGCCCATCCACATGAAGTGGTGGATATCAGATGATAAGGTGGCTAGGGACTGTATTAAGGACAGTAATTGCTGTGAGTTCTACACCAACATGGCTTACGCCATCACGTCCTCTATCATTTCCTTCTACATCCCTTTAGTCATCATGGTTTTTGTCTACAGCCGTGTTTTCCAGGAGGCCAAGCGCCAGCTGAAGAAGATTGACCAAAGTGTGGGACGTTTTCATAACAGCGACAACAGCGCTCTCAAATCTCTGGAGGCCAATAACGGGCGCGCCCAAAAGAAAGCTAAGTTTTGCCTTCGTGAACACAAAGCCCTAAAGACCCTGGGCATCATCATGGGGATCTTCACTCTGTGCTGGCTGCCCTTCTTTCTGCTCAACGTTGTGGTGGCCATATGGAAGGTGGAGGACATTGAAATCACCTTCAGGATACTCAACTGGATAGGTTACGCAAACTCTGCTTTCAACCCGCTCATTTACTGCCGGAGTCCTGAGTTCAGGTATGCCTTCAAGGAAATCCTCTGCATGAAGAGGAACCGCCTCAGCAATGCGGGGCCAGTGAATGGATACGTCTACAGCAGGCACAGCTGGCAAAGCGAGCAGCAAGGGAGGAGTAAGGGCAGCTCAGAAGACAGTGACGCCAATGAAGGGTGTCTGGGCAAAGGAGCGGGGGTCTGCAGTGTTGTAGACAGAGCAATGGACCCTAACGGGAATTGCAACAAAAGTCTAACGACTGTCCTTTAAGCTTGGAGTCCTGAGACATCTGTCAACAGGGTGGTCCATACATGTTTACACTGCTCTCATAAACTTTTTTCCAATTGACTAATGAAGGTAAGGCTAGTCGAAATGACCGGCAGAGTACCTGGAGACTGCTTTAAAGATAAGGTCATAATCATGTCAACGGAGGAAAGTGCGTTTTTCCTCTAAAAATACAGTGAATAGATACTGTAGATAGATCACTTTTCCATTTGTTACATTTAGCATATTGATTTACATCTACCTCATCACATCTTTAAGATTTCTTAACTATCAAAACTATTTCACACAACTCACTGCCCATAGAACTTGCACTATTGGGCAGCGTCTCAGATGTTTATTTTCTTGACTAAATGGTTTGTGGATTTTATATTTGCTAATTATCTGGCTCCAGTTGAATTTTATTTTATTTTTTTTTTTTTTATCTCGGATTTCCTGGCAAAAGACCCCACAATTTACTGCCATAAAATGTTTTTGAAAATCAAAGTAGATGTGGTTGTAAAGTCCATTTGAACATGTCAATTTGGCATGGATAGTAATTAACTTATTTCCATCAGAAAATGGATGAGAAGTATTGAAGGATCAAATGTAATGTCTCTTTGGTGCTTTTTTTTTTTTGAAGAAATACATTCCAGCTCAACCAAAATTATAATTTGGCTTCATTTAGTTTTTCTATTTTTTATTTTTATTTTTTTTATGTATTGTCTTAGCGTGAAAGATGATCAACAACAGGTGTGGCAGAACCTGTCTCTCTCTCTCTCTCTCTCTCTCTCTCTCTCTCTCTCTCCCCCCACTGCTCAGCAATGTTGTGAGGCCCTGCTCCCGGCTCTAGTGTTTTACAGCCTGTTGCATGAGAGTTTCTGTTGCCAGGAGATAGCACCAGAGATATGAATGTTCCCAGTTATCTGCATCGCAATGCTGCAAGCTGAGAAACTGCAGGGGCCATCCTGTCTGAGTCACATGATAAAACATGCAAGTTTGTATAGGTTGTGTCAGCCAGGTTATCGTAGCCCTGAAGATAGTGTGAAGCAAATTGTGTTTTGTTTAATGTGATTAATTCTACTGACCTTTAAAGGCTGTAGCTGTTAAAATTCCAATGCACTTTTTTCTTTTTTTTTTACATTTGCCAGTGCGCGTCATGTAAACCACTATTTGGTATATTATATAGCCATTACATACGTGCAAGGCAAACTATTAGTCTTCTCTGTCCACCCTCTGTGCCAGTAGCAGTGTAGCAGTACCAGTTGTTCCTATTGTTGCACAAACCCTGTTTGTTTATTACATTTTGTGGTTGCTGTGTTTCGGCATGTACAGTGTTTACTGAAACCAGAGAAGCTGTTTCCTTAGCCATGGCACAAGGATACAAAACCACACACAATAATAAACAGTGCGTCGAAATAGCCAAGTGATAACAGTTCCAGGCCTGAGACATGGTGCTGGTGATTACTCAGGCTAATAAACAGAGATCAGAAAAACAGAAAAACTGTGCACCTTTGTCACTGCTCCCTGATGTTTCCCAGACATCCCTCGCCGTAAACGGATGTCTGGGTCTTCACGAAATCAATCTAACAGTTGAATAAGACCAGGAGTCCGCTGAGCAGAGTCTCAGCTGCTCCAGTTGTTTCAGTCAGTTTCAGTCACTCTCCTTTAGACAGTTCTTGGTGTGCAGTCTCCAGGAAATGCCCCAATCCAGCTGAGACAAGCCAAATAAAGACAAATAAATCCATTATCCCTGTTTAGCTGGAGAATCAGATAAATCCCGAATAAACACAGGACTGAAATAGATTAGTAGATTTAAGAGTGTACAGTTCCCAATTTGCAGGTTGTGATGAGCCCTTCTTTCTTATCACCCATCTTACGATCACAGGCTCTTGAATAGGTCACTTTTTGAGTTTGGCATGCACAAATGGAGAATGAGCACTTAGCATTCAAGGCTTTTCATTGGAGAATTCATCCCACTTTTTCCACACTAAATGGCTTGCAACATCATTACTCTCAGGAGGAGTAATGGAGGTGTTGCACAGATGTAGCCCCTTTTTACTCAGTCAGTTTGGCAATCTCTAGTATGTTCTGATCAAAGTGACAGCATGCTAAATGTGGCTCCTGAAGGCAGGAGGGGGAGCAGGGATTCTCTGCCAGTCTAAATCGGTGTAAGTGACCTGTGTTTTAGTGCATGTGGCGTTGCCTCTGGAGTAAGGTCGGCTGACACCGTCAAAACTGTGAACTTTGTTCCCTCAGAGGAATCTCTACGTACTGTATCACTAGGTTTAGTCAGCACTGTTGTCACAGACCTTAGGGAAGGACGTAAATACGGTGTCATCATACGTCAGTATTTTCCATGTGAAAAACAAGCTTTCCAGTATGTTGACCTTTTTTTTGTTTTTCTTTTTCATTGATTTACAGCAAAGTAAATGCAGGGGTTGAATGTCATAACAAATTTTCTCCAGGGTTTTTATTTTTCAACATTTTCACTGTACAGCATGCACAAAGCACAAAACAGATGAAGATTGTAGACCAGATTCTAGATCTAATGTATTTATTCAGTTAAAATAATTGAGGCATTGACACTATATGAATGAGTCACTGCTGGATTAAAAAAAAGAGGTTGGTATTTAAACCATCTGTTAATTTTAGAAGCACCTCACAAGTAATGGGTTGCATGTCTGCTATATTTCTGTTGTGATGTGTTTGTAGATTTTGGTGACATTTCCTTTCAAAATGATCTGTTGTAGTCAAAGTGGAATAGGTTGTTAACTATATATCCACACTGCTCCCTCTTGGCAGTGGCCTCTCCTTGCACCTCAGCTGTCTCAGAGTTATTAATGGTTACTGTTTCATCAATACACCTGTATAATAAGGAATGTAATTCATGTCTTCACCTCCTCTTGCTGGAGGACACAACACAGTTATGCGCAATGAGTCTTGAATGATTAGCTGGCACTACAACATTCCACGTATAGCTGATGGTTTGGAATCATATACGATTCCTACTGATGCATACGATGTACGGTCAGTTCTCCCAAAAAAGTCTGGACCCAGATTACCCAGTAACCACTGGTCTGCTCAATAAAATGTATAAAAAGTGGACTCTAGGTTACAGACAAGTCTTAGAGGGCATATCAAAATGCGGCGCACACACCTTCTGTGTAAAATCTATGTATAATCAATGTCATGGATTGACACATTTTGATATGATCAGGACTCAGGTGGGCTAATGCTAATGCTCTCCTCACCGATCTACTGTTGTTCCTATTGAACATATTAGGTCCTTCACTTACTTAGCAGCACTGTATAGCACTTTCATGAAGCATTTGTAGATTTTTTGGAACAACTGAATCCACGTTTGAGTTCACAAGCTATAAATAAATAATGGCTGAAGAGTTACGCCCGTTAACTTGTACCATAATATTTGTGTGAAAGTTCCTTTTTCCTGTTTGTGACTCAAAATGAAGAGTCATGAGAAAACGGTCGCTGTGGAATCTCAGCGCAGATTGCCAATAAAGGTGGACTATTGCAAATGTGAATCTTCTCTGAAAGCTAAAATGTTGCTTCAGCTGTCATATGACAAGTAAACCTATCATATGTGAACTTCTTTTTGTGGCCAGAGTGAAAAAGTCGTCACTCATCTGAATGTTTACTAAATGTTTGCAAGCTATTTTCGCACAAGTTTTTTTCACTGTTTGTTAATGAAGCCTGTTACAACATGTGGTGTCCTGTGGTATTTATGAAAACGCGAAAAGTGTATGTGCCGTAACATTTGTAGCGAAATAAATTATGTACATGTTGCATGTAATATCCTCATTGATGCGTCCTTCATGATCATTAGTGAGAGCAATAGGATATGAGATATGTGAATGCATCAGGCCTGTACAACGACAGCAGTTAAGTCTCTTTCACTACAGGAAAACCAGTCAGTGGGATCTTGGATCTTCAGGATATTGTGAAAATGTTTCCATTCTCCTTTTGAAATTGCACAATGCTCCAACTAATCATAGATTATACAGAGCACCTAATTCTATCCCAGAAATCCAAGAGAGGAGGACAGTAAGATAAATAGAGCCATAAAAATGTCTTGATATTTGGCACTTAGCCGCAGTGGAGAGCATTTTTCATGTTTCTTTCGAGCATAGAATGCGTTCATCTGCAAGATTAATATCAAGATTAAAAGTGTAGTGTGTAGTTTTCATGGTTATGAATGCAGTTCGATAGGAACCAACAGAACATCACACTAAAGATAATGAGTTTTGTAAATGAGTTCATGGTGCATTTTGCATTTTGAAATAAGAGATGAGATAGTCATCAGCCTCACTGCTCTTTTCTCTTTCCTCATGTGACGCAGTAGGATCCAAAAGGAGGCCATTTAGCAAGATCGACTAAGTGTGAATGTACTGCAAAATCTGTAATATCTCTCTATCTCTTTATCTTTGTCTCTCTCACTCTTCCTACGATTTCTAGACACATTCACAGGACTGAAAAGATTGTTGTGAGACCATTGAGACTTGCAAGCAGCTGTGAAGACTAATCAGACTCCTGCAAATATTGCTCTGGGCTGTTACTTGCACTAAGTTACTTTCAAAGCCAAGGAAAATGTCATACTATATCAGTTTGTGAAGTTACAATCCACTGTGTTGTATTTCCCCACTGTGTTGGCTCCAGCAACCCCAGCCAAACTTGTTAGCCTATCCATTACATATGCCAGACGAGCAGGTAGCCTGGAGTACACCCTCATCCTAAAAGCTTCTTCTCTTGTAATGTTGAAAGTAAAGCATACTGTTATATTACAGGGTTATGTTAGAATGTGACTGAATCTTACCTTAATTTTTTCCTCATTTCATCTTATCAAATAGCCCTTTGTTGCAAAACAATAACAATGCTGTTTTTATATTTCCCTCTACATGGATCATCAGCTGTGAGGAAGGTGCTTTGTTACCCGGGACCTGTTAGCTTTTGTAGCCATCAAAATACATTGAAGTATTTTATAGTGTTTTTTTTTTTTTAAATGAGTCTCCTGGAAACATTAAAGACAGCTGGTAAGATGGCATTTTCAACCAACTCATGGAGCTACTGTTACCTGATACAAATCTAACAGCAGCTCCAATTTCAGCTGGCAAAACTGGCCGCTGTTTTTTATAAACGTGACCTGCATTTAAATCAATGACACATAACTTCAAAAAATTATATGAATTTAATTCGATTTTGAAATCTGGCAATCATCATAGTAATCTAATATTATAATTAATAATAGAGAGCCATACTGTGGCCTATGGGGTACAGTAAACTCTTCAGGTGTAAACCTACTTTTGATTATACAAATAGTATAAAATCAGCTTAGTATTCATGCCCCGCCTCCAACAATTGAATAATTTCACAGTTGAACATCAGCAGGGAGGTATCTTCAGTGTAAATGCATCTGCTTTTGAGAGGTCTTCGCCCCTTACTCTTTAATCCTTTAAAGCTCAAGTTTTCCCCTGCAGCGTTAGATTGGAATTTCAGTTTAAGTTGTGTCAAATGCTCCATGTCTTTCAGGGATTTAGAGGCGCACTGAGGCCGATCCACAGGGACGTGTGGAGACA